CAGTGGTGCCCAGCGACAGGACAAGGGGCAACAGGCACAAACTGAAGCTGAGGAAGTTCCAGCTGAACATGAGGAAGAACTTCTTCCCTCTGAGGGTGACGGAGCCCTGGCCCAGGCTGCCCAGGGAGGCTGTGGAGTCTCCTTCTCTGGAGATATTCCAGACCCGCCTGGACAAGGTCCTGTGCAGCCTGCTCTGGGTGACCCTGCTTGGGCAGGGGGTTGGACTGGGTGACCCACAGAGGTCCCTGCCAACCCCGACCATGCTGTGATTCTGTGATACACACCCCCCTCCGCCGCTCTCAGGCACAGAGCAGTGAGTTTTTTGCCCTTTCCTCCACCGTCAGGAGGATTCAGAATTTATCCGTTCCTATGCATGTGTCACACAAAGCACAGCAGCAAAACTGACAGCGGCGGCCTCGTGCTTGTGAGCATGGAACAAACAGTCTTCTCCTCTCTCACGGTTCAGCTGAGCGCAGGATGGGTTTTCCTTTTGGGCAAGGGCTCTCTTCAAGAGCCGCCTGTCAAAGGGCGGATCTGGGAACGCAGGAGCTCAGGCAGCAAAGTCAGCCTGCCAGGAGCAAGGAGTCTCCTAAGGGAAGGATGGCATTGCCCCAGGTGCTCGGCCCTCTGATCCTTTTTGGTCGGAGAGGCTCTCCGTGACAGCTCCAACGCAGCGATTCCTCTCCCCGTTAGGAGGAGGGGGTCTGCTTCCCTGTTTCAACGCAGCGTGCTCACCGCTGCTCACCCTCTGAAGCTAACCGAAATCCAGCAGGGCAATGGGATGGAGAAGCAACCTGACTGCGTGATCTGACTCACCTTGAAAGGAAAAGCCCAACTCTGGAACCCACACCATTAACACTGCTTCTCAGACGCTACTAACACCGACACGTCATTTCACGCATTGCTGTGCAAATACTCTCCAAGCAAGCTGCAACAGTCCCTGACTGTTGTCTCACCTCTGTGATAATGGCCTTGTGCTGCTTAATTCTCTTCAGCTCTTCTTCACAACTCATCACGTAACACCTGGACAAAGGCAGAGGTTTCCCATTCCGGCAGAGAACGGTTTGGCACTTCCCCACGTTGGCCGAGGTCAGCGTGAAGCATCCACCAGGGTCCATGGGATCATGTTTTATATGGCAAAGCACAGCAGAGCCTCCAAGTTTTTGTCCAGCTGTTCCAAGTTTCCTGGAATTTAAACAAAACGACGATTGTTCTTTAATTGGAAAGCAAGTGTTACGGGTGCTGCGGAGAAACCGCCGCTGCTCTGCAGGGCATTGACTCCGCTGGATCACTGGGACAGAAACAGAAGTGTCCACTGAACACTGCGACGCTACGGCAGCACTGCAGAGAAATCACGTGCAGCTCTCAGGCAGTGTGTGATTTACACACATGCAGATACTCAAATCTGCTCAATTTTAGAACAAAAGAAAGAAATCTTTACACTTGTAAGAGCTGCACAGTTGTCTGTCTCTCTCTACATCCTGAAGACATTTGTTAGAAAGGTCAGATCGAGGGAAACGGAGAGAGTTTGGAAGTACTGAGGACTACTAAATGAGTACAGGTAGAGCTCAAAAAGGTGGTTCCTATTATCCAGCTGGTTCTTTGGCTTCTGAGGCTACAGATTTCATTATAAAAATAATAATTCTAACTGTAAAAACTCTTATTACTTTTGAGCAAAACCAGAAGGCAGAGGCTGACCGTTTTGTGATGTCTTCAGAATAATGCTCTTAAAGTACCTGTCGTGGCTGTCAACTCCATTGCAAAAAGGCACACTTTTCATTTATCCTGCCAGTTATTAACCTGTTCAATAGGTTCTTAGAAATATTTAAGCCTGCTGTTTTAGCAGGAGTCGTAGTGAAAAAAAAAAATAGTCTATGGATAAAACTGAAGTTTTCAGAATTCTGTCATTAGAGTGTAAATTCGTTCAATAGTAGACTGTGAAAGATCAGTATCTTGTTTATCAGTGCCTTCTCCTACACTAATTAGGAACTGCAATAATTAGAAAGCTAATTATAGAGGTTACTAAAATTTATATTAAGGCTAGGTATAGCCAGCAAGAACTCTTGATTCAAAATCCTGGGGAGAGAATGCATAACTAAATTTGTAACCAAGCTTCAATGTGCTTTTTAATCTTATTTTTTAAACGTACACTTCAGGAGTGTTGCGTATCATGTGTAATGATCCTCACTGAATGGTTAAATGCAACTGGAATGACTGCTATTGCTGGTTCTCCAAAGAAGGGGTTAGCTTATTTTGACCCGAGACCAAAAGAGAGAGAAAAAAAACAAAGCAGCAGCTTTTTGTAGGAATGCCACATTCCTGTGAAACTGCATTAGTAGAAAACAAAACCACTTAATAAGCACTTTCGATACTCAAATTTGTTATTACTTTTGAATATTTTAAGTGTATGGCAACCACCTTCTCAGCTACCGGTCTGAGGCACTGTTCTCAGCAATTATGGGAAGGAAGCGTTTTCTCTCTGGTGTTTGCAAGGCTCAGCACCACCCTGCTGTTCCAGCACCTTTCCCGAATCCAGAACCTCGGCAGTTTTCCTTTCCGAAGGTGCAGCAGTTGAACGGTAAGCAATGCTGCTTTTCACTTGATCCATTTCCTCAAAGCTGCTTGCTTGCCTTCTCCTTTGCCTCCCTGACCTCTTTGCTCTCCCTTGTTCAACTCCCTTCGGACTCCTCCTTCACTCAGTGTCTCCCCGGGCACAATTTCTTCTTCTGTCAAGAAAAGCACGCGTGCAGGTTTCCAAACCCCCACGCAGAGCTGCTATTACACTCACAGCTATCGTATCAGGATGGGTCCTGCTCAGATAATATGCTAAGGCCACAGGGATGACTGAAGAGAAGACATTTCTATGGAGTCAGACTACATGTTTTAAATATTTGTGTAGCCTTAAATAACCTGAAGTGGTACAGAGAAATGGAAAGGATCAGCCCAGGCTTTGCAGCCAGTAGTAGTAAGGCAGTTTAAAAGATGGTGAAGAGATGCACACCACTGACTTGGTTATGGCCAGCTGCGAGTTGTAAGACTTAAAGAAGACACCAGAAAAGAGGAAACCTCCACCCACCACTTAATCCTAAGCATTTAGTGACTTTGCAGGTGTTTTTCTTTTTTTTTTTTTTTTTGGGGGGGTTTGTGTTGGGGTTTTTCCCTGCACACCTGAGAGGAACAGAGGGCAATATTCACAAAAAAAGCAACAAAAGAAAACACCACAGCCAGATACCAAGGCTTTTTTCCCCCCTCGGATTTTTCTGAAGCAAGCAAAGAGGTGTCTGACCTGAAAGCGCACAAACTGCCCAGTGAGCACACGCAAGGTAAAAAAGGCTTCAGATCCAAGACCCACCTCTGCATGACGATGAACGTGTTGATCATGTATTCCTCCTCATTTTTCGTTTTCTGCAGCTCTTCCGCTAAGATGTCGCTCATCGTGCACTGCAGCAGATAGGGCACCTCCACGTTGCGGTCGCCATCGAAAACCCCGTAGAGTGCCTCTCGGTTGTCGCAGAAGTTATTGGCTGAAAGTGCTGCCACGCACAGCCTAGTGAAAAAACAGAGCAGGAGAACATCAAGGTGGTTACCCACTACAAGCTTCTCGTCTCGTCATTCTGACCAGAGAGATGGAGCCTGGTCTGAGGGCTAGTTTTAACCACCTCCACGTTGCGGTCGCCATCGAAAACCCCGTAGAGTGCCTCTCGGTTGTCGCAGAAGTTATTGGCTGAAAGTGCTGCCACGCACAGCCTAGTGAAAAAACAGAGCAGGAGAACATCAAGGTGGTTACCCACTACAAGCTTCTCGTCTCGTCATTCTGACCAGAGAGATGGAGCCTGGTCTGAGGGCTAGTTTTAACCACCTCTCTTCATAAGCATTTCAGGACTGCTTTCTGAGCTGTGGGGAAGAGTCAAGCCCATCAACAGTGCTAAGATGTGGAGAGAACTAGACTGGAAGCTCAAGCCAAGCCCTAAGGAGTCTTCCTCCTTTTTAACATGAGAACAAGTCCCTTATTTGTAGGAAAGAGAGAAAAGCATCTGCGAAACAACATCAGTTTGCTCCTCCAAAAGCCATCCTTGTGATTCAACGCGCTGATGGCCAAGCTGTGCGTTAAATCAGCGAACAGTAAGTAAAGGCTTGCTGGCACTTGCTATGGAAACCTAGGTAGCAGAAGATCTCTAAAAAGGTATTTAAGGAACAAAGCAAGATTCATCACCCTGCCAGCAACACAGAGACTAGCAGCCTCTCGGTACGTTATTTGTCAAGTGCTGCCTTAGTCACAGGAGCTCCGCGCACTATGAATATTCAAAGCTTTGGCCATTCTGCCTCTTCCCTTAGTATCTCCGATTTGCTTGGTAAACATCCTTTGGTTGAAGATAAAGCAGCTTTGCAAAGAGGAAAATGCTTTTAGACACCCGGATCTTTTGCAAGCACCAGAGTCTTGCGCGGACAAAATGCGTCGCTGACACCCGTATCTCAGCAACTTCCCTAACAAAAGGCCAAAGCGGGGAGCCAGGCAGGGCCCCGCTACACAAACACGGAGCCACGGCACTGCCTCTGCCTTTGGGAGGCCCCAAACGTCCCCAAAACTCCCACTGAAAAAAAAAAAAGGATTTCTTTGTGTCAGTTCTCTGCCTCGTGTGAATGAAAACCACGCCGGGTCGTACTTGTTCTTGACGCCCGACGCTTCCGTGTAGCCGTGGCTCCACACCGCCGGGGCTCCCGAGGCGTCGCCGGCCGAGGGCTGGTCGATCTTGAAGCAACGGATATTGCTGCAAGGAGAAAGGAAAGATGCAACGGCTCGAAACGTGAAGATAACACCCTTTTTCACTTCCCTGAGTTCTCAGTAACACGTTTAACAGAAGGAAACGAAGCGGCGCATCCAAAGTGGTTACTTTTCTGTGTCTGTACACAAAGAACAGAAAAGCAGTCGATCAGCGAGGCTCTACGAGAGCGTCAGCCCAGAACTGGAGAGAGTCCAGCGGAGGGCTACAAGGATCCTGTGC